GTCCCTATAGGGCTGTAAAAACCAACCAACCAAACAAACAAACAAAGCCCCTTTAAAATGGAGCCAGAGTTGCCACACCAGAGGAACTGCTTTGCATGTCTTATGTCTCAAACCTTTAGAAGGTGAAAACCTGGCAAAATACCTTTGGACTGAGACTAAAGTACCCTTGTGCTCAAAGAACTGTATGTAAAGATAACAAGAAAATAGATATAATGACTGCAGGATTGAAAATAAAACATTGTTTAGAATTAATATCACTGTTAGTTTACGTGCCCCAATAATAATACCTTCCTTCTCTCGATGCAATTGTTTCCCTCCCATTTCTCATAAACACCCATTGTCTTTGTCTTCTAATCAGAACACTGTTTGGGCTTCTGCCTGAATCTGTGTGTCCCAAATTTTTTGATCTCAAATAAATGCTTGTTGCCTCTCCCTTTGAAAGACCTTTATTTTTAGGTTAACAGGACACACAGGTATCTACTTCTGTCATAACAAACTACCACAAACTTAGCAGTTTGAAGTATACAGATGTATTACCTAACAGTTCCATATGTCAGAAGCATAGTGTGGTCTCACTGGGCTAAAATCAAAGGGTCTGCAGAGCTGTGTTTCATCCAGGGGGCTCTAGGGGAGAATCTGTTTCCTTACTTTTTTCAGGTTGTTGGCAGAATTTAATTCCTTTCAGGTTCCATTTCCCTGATGGCTGGCAGCTGAGGGTCCTTTATGACCTTTGAAAGCTGTCTGTATTCTTTGGCTTGTGGTCCCATGCCCCATCTTCAATGCCAGCAAGGACAGGTTAAGTGCCTCTCACACTTCAGATCTCTCCTGCCCCCTCTTGCATTGTTTCTTTTCTCCGGACCAGTCATCATGCTTTTCTCATCCATTTTTAAGGGCCTGTGTAATTATACTGGAACAACCTGGATAATCCAGTCCAGTCTCCCTATTTTTAGGTCATCTTAAACCCATCTGCAAAATTTCTTTTGCCATGAAGGAAATATATTCACAGTTTCCAGGGATTAGGGCATGGGCATCTTTTGGTTAGTTGGGTGAGTGGGTGGGGGTATTATTCTGCCTACCAGAGCTACGTTTATGATATATTACACCTTTATCTATTTTGGGTCTTGGGCTCACATCTCTGGGCTCTGTTCTCTTACACCAATTGGCCTATTCTGTGCCAATTCTATATTGCCTTGACCATTGCAACTTTATAGAAAGTTTTATTATTTGGTAAGACAATCTCCCTTTGACTAACCTTCTTTTTCAAAATTGTCTGGGTTGTCCTTACCAAGCTTTCTTCCAGACTCTGAAAGTCAGCCACAGTGTAGTAATTCTGGAGTTGCTTTAGCAGGGAGTTGGGAGGATCCATCATTTTATAAACATTTCCTAAACATTTTATTAAAAATTCTTAAACACTTAAAAGTTCTTGTGCAAGCTGTCTCATCAACATAAACGTTGGAATTATTGCTGAGAATAATGATTTCAGCATTTGGGGCTAAGCATTTTATGAAGGACTAGCTGACTTCCTCAGGCAGCTTGAGTGAACTGGTTGTTGTAAATGAGCCTCTAACCCCTGGGACACGAGGACGCACTGTGCAGAGTCGCGCTGGGAGAAGCAGTTCTTTGGTGTATCAGGACTTGGGGTTCACTGCCCCTGTGACTTGGGGTTGACTGCCCCTGTGACTTTGGACTGAAGGTTCATATTTGTAAACAATTTGTCTTCTCCATCCATGGCCACTTAATACTAAATGCTCACTCATCTTTCCTAATTGAGGTTTTAACGGCTTATTTGTACCTGGTTTCCACTGCTCAGGAAGATGTCTGACTATATTAGAGGGGCCTCCAAAGTGATCTTCATGAATATTTTAAGTTACACCCTCCACACCTGGAAAAGATTCATCTAGTTACTTTTGCTTGATTTGGTAATAGACAATTTTATTTATATTACTATGTAATTTTACTAATATAAATTTTATTTACATCACATAGTAATATTCATAATTGCTTTTTTACTTCAAAAGCAAAATCACAACTGCAGTAATTTTTTAAAATAAGTTTTACATCATTATAAAACCTTAATTATGACATCATATTCAATAGAATTATTGAACTCCTGAACAATCACCATATGTCTCTGAGAAAATCAAACAGTTATCATTCAAGCATTACAGGATTATATCTCTATACAAATTTCATTACAAAATGCTTTCTTTCTTGTTACCCCTTTGTCATGCTAGTGTATGCCCCCCAAAACTTCTATAATCTGCAATGTTTTAACTTTAAATCCACAAACTATTTTACCCTAATCACATGTAAGATCATTAGTCTTCATGCTTTCTATCTCCGTGTAACAGTAAGAAATCAGCTTGTAGACCTTTCCCCTTGAAAAGTATGTTAATTATGCTTGCCTTCAGGAAGAGCACCATCGTGAATCTTTTGGCATTGAAGTGGCTCATCAGACAGAAATGTGAATGTAGGAGATAGGTCCACTGCTCTGCAGTAGAAATGACTCTTCTTTCTTCAATTCTTCAAACCATTTATCTCCATTCTCTGCCAACTGAAAATCTATAAAAATTCATCTAGGAATCTGGTGAAACTCATGACTCTTCCCTGGATGTCTGGAAGCGCCCTGGGCAATTCAACCATGTGTGCTCAGTGTTGTGAGGTTATTCCTGGGTAGAAGCTGGGATATCCAAGCTGATGAAGACATATGGCAGGATTGTACTTTTTGGTTAGAATTGTTGAGGCTATAAAGTTACACTTAGACTCTGACTAACATCATGGATATACATGCCTGGAGATGAAAATCAATGGCCTTCATCATCCCAGCTATTAAGTGCTGTTAGTGGCGACCTGTGTATCCACAACCACCTCCACTGTGCAGTAGCAGAAAAATATTTTCAAATAATCAGTATCTTGAACTTCAATAATATGAGTAGATACACAAAAAACTATACAGGCAGTAAGGAGCCTCACTACCACCAAATCATAGGGACCTTATGATGTGGGATTGAGGGTAGGTAGCATGCAGGTTGAAATCACGTGTGGTTACTGCTTATGAGTGCTACTGAATCTCTCCCCCTTCACAGCCCATGGGATATGATTTGTGTCTGACACCCTGGGGCAAATGTGAAGGGCTGGGTGCAGGCAGAGACAGAAACTCTGAAGGCTGAGGGGATCTGTGCAGACCAGAAACTAGGCAGCAAACCAGCATGCATCAGTATGAAGGGTGGGGGGCTCTGGCTTTGATGAAAACTCTGCTCCAGCTTTAATGATAGATTTGAAAAAGCCATTAGCCAGTCAAATTTGTTATCACTCATCCTCATGTTGGATGGCATTGGCCCTCATTGAGATAGCATGCTTATCACTCCACAGACATTTATTCCCTATTTCCATGGTGGGATACACCCCAGTGGCAACTCTCCTGCTCTTGAGGAGCTTACAATCTAGCATGCCAGATAGCTATTTAAACAGCTATTTTACAATGTAGGCAAAATCAAGGCCTATGAGAGAATTTCAGAGTTGTATGAGGTTCCATGGGCTGAAGCACGTAATTGTGTACGGATACAAGGGGAGCTGCAGAGAAAAGCGCTAACAGAAAGGATTAATTCTGAAACGCCACCCTGACCAAATGTACAAAATACAGCTTGCATTGAGAAAACAAAACAAGCAGGTCAATCCTTGAAATAATCCCGTGCAGCCCACAACCTAGGTATGTGTTCTGACCAAGAATCGAACCCAGAACCATTTGGTATATGGGATGCTGCTCTGACCGAGCAACCCAGACAGGGCCCCTTAGATTTTCAAATAACAAAATGACAACAACCAACCCAACAGCCATCCACTGTGAATGAATCAAAAGTATACATTTTTTGGGGTCAGATTGACAAAAAAATTTTTTAGTGTTGCAGAATTTATTTATAAATTAGTTCACGTGTACCATGAGATGAAAAAAGGCTGAAAACCGCTGATAGAAACATTTCTTATAGCTCAGAAGCATTACTCAGATGTGATCTACATATGACATGCCTTGAAGCTCCAGCTTTTGAGATGAGAAAAACTTAAAGCAGTGTTAAAGTAACTGCTTGCTTCTTTTTCCCAACCAAAGATGCAGTTATTGAACATTTTTAAAAACTATTGACTTTTGCCCTGAAACACTACTTCAACTGTTTAATCTGGAAATAAATTACAGTGTAAACTTCATTGGTTAAAATAATTTCCAGCAGCTTCAACTTTATATCATACAACTAAAATGGTAAGAGTGAGGGTCATCTTAAGGACTATACCAAAATAGTAGTTCAATTTCAACATTAACAGTATGTTTCCATGTTATCAAACAAGAGTATTTTTTTGGCACAAGAAAAAATATTGACTTCATAATTTCAAAGACCTTTTAAAATAGGACATTTCTGGGAACTTGGATTAGCAGTAAATTCTGTTAGTAAATTAGCAGTAAATTCAGGACCTGTTCAAGTTAAGGACTCTTTTTCAGTTAAAAATTTCTGTCCACGCCCTGGCTGGTATAGCTCAGTGGATTGAGCGTGGGCTGCGAAGCAAAGTGTCGCAGGTTCGATTCCCAGTCAGGGTACCTGCCTGGGTTGCAGGCCATGACCCCCAGCAACCGCACATTGATGTCTCTCTCTCTCTCTATCTCCCTCCCTTCCCTCTCTAAAAATAAATAAAATCTTAAAAAAAATTTGTCCACAAAATATACCTGTATATTTTGAGTGAAACCTAAACTTATATTCTAGAATCTCTCTTCTGATGAGTATATTTAAAAACACTTGCACGTTTGTCCATTTAAGTGTTAATACTAAAATAAATTCAAATGCCTCTCAAATATCAGCTAAGATCTATCAGGTGTTTATCAGAACAGGCTCAGTTCAAAGCATACTGTTCATACTGCCGTAGTTAACCCTGCTAACCACTCTCCAACCCCACCAGGTAAGAGGCAGAGGGGAACACAGGGAAAAAAGCATGCTGTGCAGAAACACAAGGCACAGTTTAATAAAAATAAAGAGTGGTTTATTGATTTCATAATTTCAGCTGTATTAACATATATTATAAACTTTAAAAATTAGAAATAAACTTTTTTTTTTTTACCAAGAATAATCTAGGTTATGGCAGCATTTTTAATGAAAATTATTTAAGTCTTGCACAGCCATATCTATTTTTCAGATAATCAGGAAGTCATCATCCAAGCTTTGTATTAGGCCACAATAGAGTAACCCCTGTACACACATTGTTTTTTCACCAAATGCTCCCTTTTTGTTATGTAGACATATCCTCCCCAATATTAAAATGTACAAAATTTAACTTTTTGCTCACAAGAGCCTCCTCAAATAACTTTCCCCTTGGAAAGCTACAAAGGCATGAAGACAGCAAAATGCTGCTCTGGACTTTGTATCTTGAATTTTTCATTTTTACCTATGACCCCAATTTATAAATAAAACTAAATTAACCCCACATTATAATACTTACTTAGCAACGTATTTTTATGTTTAACACAAAGATGGAAAACATAAAATAGTCTGAGCAAGTATTTGGCAGACCACAGAAAGAAAACAGGACTTTGGGAAGTGAAAATGTTTTAGTGTTTCAAAGCTGAAGAGACTGATGAATGTCATTCAAATTTCTCATCTCCTTCTTCCACGTCTTTCAAATTGAGCACTTCCAAAGAACCTTTGCCCTTTGTCTCCTTTTTTATTAGCTCATCAATTTCTCTGAAGCAGCCCGGGTCAATTAGACACACCTGAAACATTTAAAACAGCTGTTTACCACATGAAGAGGAACAACACAATAGAATGAACACAGCTTCAACTTCCTCTAAGACAAACTCACAATACAGGGTCTGGCACAAATAACACCCCTGCATTGGCTTGTGTGGCTCAGTGGATTGAGTGCTGGCCTGCGAACCAAAGGGTCACTGGTCTGATTCCCAGTCAGGACACATGCCTGGGTTGTAGGCCAGGTCCCCAGTAGGGGGCGTGTGACAGGCAACCACATATTAATGTTTCTCTCCCTCTCTCTTCCCTAAAAATAAATACATACAATAAAAAAAAAAAACAAAAAAACCACCCCTTTTTATTACAAAATCATAAGTATGTAATTCTGTAACATAACAATACCATGCTCAAGCACACCCCATGGCATTTCAGGTGAAATGTTCAAATTAAAACTATATATTATTACACTCATATTATTACTCTACCAACCACACTCAGGCAGGCGTTACTTCTACAGGACCTGTACTTTCCAGATAGCTCTACTACTACAGTTTTACAGTGCGACACAGAGGGTGATGCACAGGGCAGCAAGCGGCATTGCAGTTCAGCCCATCTGTAAGTCTGCATGGAGGTTCCTGTGACAAAGCATTAACTTTGCAGTTTAATGTTTAAAGACTTATCCAGATCCCTCAGCTTGCTGTAAGACAAAGTAGTTGGATTAGAAAACTATGGTACTTTTCCTGGCTGGCATAGCTCAGTGGATTGAGTGCGGGCTGCAAACCAAAGTGTCGTAGGTTCGATTCCCAGTCAGGGCACATGCCTGGGTTGCAGGCCATGACCCCCAGCAACCGCACATTGATGTTTCTCTCTCTCTCTCTCCCTCTCTAAAAATAAACAACAACAACAACAACAACAACAAAAAGAAAGCCCATTTCTTTATTAAAAAAAAAAGAAAAAGAAAACTATGGTACTTTTGATACCAAAACTCAGCATTAAATTTTATAGTTCAATAAAATCATCCCTTTTCATCCACACCTGAAGGAGAGAAGCTAGAAGGCCTAGAGAGAAACCATGTATAAAGTTTTGAAAGGATTGTAGAACTTTAGACTATCACATCTAAAGTGGAATGATCAACAATCCTCTAGAGCGCATTTATTTCTAAAGCTGCTGCAAAGTGTAAGGACATAAATTTGCAGAAAGCTGAATATACATTATGTCTGAAGCTATAGAAGCTATTGTGACTCAAAGACACAATAATTTTATTGCTTCTTTAAAATGTTCTGTGATGCCCAAGTCAGGAAGCTCATTTGGTTAGAGCGCCATCCCAACAGGCCAAGGTTGTGGGTTCGATCCCGGTCAGGGCACACTGGTCAAGAATCAAACAATGAATACGTAAATAAATAAGTGGAACAACAAATTGATGTTTCTCTCTCTCCCCCTTCCTCTCTGTAAAAAAACATGAGGCTGACCAGCATGTAGTCTTTTATTTCTTCATAATGTAAGACTCATTGTAAAATATACTCTCTCACCTAAAATCTGGGTAAGTCATTAAACATAGAGGTTAATGCCTTGTTACATGACCAACATGATTTTATCATAAATAATTTAACTAGAAAACAAAGGAACAAAAAAATTTTAAGTGTTCTTAATTATAATTCAGCTCTACTTTGACCTTAACATTTTTACCTAATTCTAGGTAAAATGTTTCTGGAAATGTCTTACTGTTCATATCTTCTAAATGTTTGTTATACGTTAATGACTAGTGAATAAACTACTTTGGTAACACAGAAGCAAAGAAATAAGAATACTTTAATCTTACAATTTCTAATTGCTGACCGTAGTCTTCACTTTCTATAACCTTGATCAGTGGCTTAAGCTTTTCTTTCAGCTTTTTCCCTTCATTCAATGGGAGAATGAACCGAAGTCTCATGTGAGCACGTTCTATCTTCATTTTCTCTTTTAACTGCTTTATTACTTCCAAAGCCTATCAAGACAAAATTGAAAATGTTTGCAATTTCTTTGCTGCTTCTGCTGTCTTATTTCATAAGGTATTCAAAGCAAAACTGTTTCCATCTAGCTGGATTCAGCAATGGTTTCTTGGACATGACATGAGCATAAGCAAACAGATTAAAAAAATAAGCAAATTGAACTTTAAGATGAAATACTTTTGTGGTTCAAAAAACTGTGAAGAAAAAAAGACAACCCACAGAATGGGGGAAAATAGTAGTAATCTAAATAGATAACTACTACTATCCAGACAATAGAAAAACTCTTACAATTCAATAATAAAGAGACAAATAACCAATTAAATAGTGGTCAAAAGATCTGAACACTGATTTCTCCAAGAGAGACAACAGGTCAATAAACACATGAAAATATGCTCAAATCATTAGTCATGAGGAAAGTGCAAATGAAAGCCAGAAGTTAACCCCAGGATGGCTATAATCAAAAAGGCAGGCAGTAACAAATATCGTCAAGGATGTGGAGAAATCGGAACCCTTGTACATTGGTTGTGGAAATGTAAAATTATACAGCTATTTTGGAATGACTGACAGTTCCTCCAAAGGTTAAACATAAAGTTACCATATGACTTAGCAATTTCATTTCTGGGTATAGAGAAATGAAAATGTGTCCATAGAAAACCCATAATGAAATTTCATAGCATTATTCACAACAGCTGAAAAGTGGGAACAGGCCAAATGTCCATCAACTGGTGAATGAATAGATAAAATGTGGTATTTCTACACAACAGGATATTATTCAGCCATAAAATGTTAATAAATATTTGTCTATAAAAACAATGTAAGTATCATAGCAAGAATGAAATACTGACACATGTTACAACATGGCTGAACCTTGAAAAGGTCACATGTTGTATGATTCCACTTGTATGAAATGTCCAGAATAGACAAATCCATAGAGAAGGGGTTCCAAAGGCTTGTGAGAGGGGGTAACAAGGAGTGACTGCTAATGGGCATGGGATTCTATTTGGGGTAATGAAAATGTTCTCAAATTAGGTAGTAGGAAAGGCTGCAAAACTTTGTAAATATACCAATGAATCGTACACTTTCAAAGGATGACTTTTATGGTATGTGATTATGTTTTTTAAAAAATCAAAAAAGCAAACTTACAATGACTCTTTAAAAATCCAAGTTTTATCTTTAAAGGTTTGATTTTGGATAGAAAGATAAGAATCCTATGTATATTTGTGTTTAGTTAAAAAAAATTCAATTTCTCCTCTACAATGCATATCCTTTCCCTAGCCCCCCCAAATCTATCAGTCAGCTTTCAAGTAGTATAATTATTGCAGACCAATTACTTTAATGATTTCAGAGAAAAGTGATTTTCATGAATACCTTCTGATAACATTAAAAGCCACTAACCTGCTGTTTTGTACTCTTGTTGATTTTGACTGAATAGTGGATGTCCTTCATTGCTCTCTCGATAAGGATAACAGTGTAGGGTCTCTTTGTTTCAGGGTTCACACATTTGTCAGCTACAATAGTTGCAATGTCCCTAAACATCTGCTCCAGCTGTGTCTGCCGTTCTTTATCTGATACTTGAACTTCTCCTTTAGTCAAAATCTAAAAACAGTTCCAACATATTTAAGAAAGCAGTGTCTTTCTTACATACTATTGTTAACTGACGAGAATAAATAAAAAGAAAATTAAATTTCATCCTCTGTAGTTACTGAAATGTAGGTAATAATTTGAGCTTTGACTAAAGAATGGATTATCTTGTGCTACAGAATATCATTTATTTGGGATTAGAAGGGGAAAAGGCAATCTTATCGAAGGGTCTAAATGATGAACTACTTGAAAAGAAATTCTATTTTCAGGTATATTACTTTAAAAATACATAAGTTAACAAAGCAAGATGTAGTACAACATTGAATTTCTAGAATTTTGACAAAAAACATCTATGGTCTTTGTATGGTGACAATGGTTAATAGACTTATCGTGACGATTACTTCATAAGGTATATAAATGTTTAATCACTGTATGTCTACTACACTTAAATTTAAAAAAATCCATGTCCTGAATTATTAAAAGTGATATTGTGCAGATCAAATTACTGCGTGTCACTGTTCACTCCAAAAAAAAATAATACTTAAGTTTAACATACCTCTAAGTACATACACTACAAATGGATACTAGGGTCAGTTATGCTGCAGCTGTTAAAACCCACCTGCTTACAGATTTCAGTCTGATCATCTGTTCCAAATGCACTGATGAGATCTTCCTTCTTTGCAACCTGACCCTTAGAAACATTTACAAACACTGAGTGGGTCTGCAGAACTTCATCAAGGTCTTTTTCCCTAGTGAGGACAGGAGACAAAGTCCTAAGTCAATACTTGAAACGTGGAAATTCATTTATATTATTCATACAAATGACAAGAAACAACAAAGACTCCTAAAAGGCCCTCGGTGCTGAGGAAACATTTTCAAAAACTCAGAACCCCATCTGTAATCGCATTTATTCACTGGAGAAAAACGTCGTGAGAGGATATATGAAACGGTGGGTGTGGGTGTGGGTCTGGCTGCTGCCACTGAATACCGATCCCTAGGTGGCAGTAGTGAAGACACTACGCACTTTGATGATACTGAGCTAAGATCTGTGATATTAGTTGCACTAATATAACTAATATTTGTAAGATTAGTCTCTGTCTTTATCATTATTCTGGCAAAAGGACTATAATGTGGGGGTTTCTTGGCTGTAGCCTTTGTGACAGTATCGAAGCAAAGCAAAACCAAACTCCAAACCAACAACCCAAAACAAAACCGAACCAATTAGAAAAAAACAAACCCTCTTGGTTTAGGCGCTACGCTCGGGGAAAAAGATGACTTGTCATGCTTCCAGCTGAAAAAAGTTTGTTATTCCTTTCCCCGACGACCCCAGCTTAGCCCATTTATTCGACCTGAAAAAGGCCACCTCAGAGGTTAGCAACTCCTGCCGAGGTCTGGAGGGAAAGGGTCACTCACACGCCGCTCCGCCAGCCGACGACTTTGTTTTTGTAGCAGGCGATCTCGAAACGCTTCCCAGCGCGCTTCATGCGTACCACGGCCACATTTGTTAGGCGGATCTGGTTGGTGGGAGTGAAGATGGACATTGTGGCTGCTCAGATTTTGGGTCCACCCAACAACGGCACACCTGCGCCACCGGCCTGAGAGCCACTTGCGCGTCACTGTAACGACCCGGCGTCACGCAGCACAGTCTCGCACGCAGAGAGCTAAGTCGCGCGACTGACTCGGCCTAGCCGGCCGCCACCACACACTGGACTGACTTACTGCGCAGGCTTCAGGTTCTGCGAAAACCGAACCGGGAAGAGCGACAAATAACGCCTGCGCAGTGTCGCTCTTACGACATCATTCCGTGCCGGAAAAGGCAGGTGCCTTTCTTTTGGTAAGATAATTTCGTCAACGAGATAACGAGCTCTGATTAGCTGTTGAAGCTGCTATCGGGAGACTGTCTCGAAACTCGGCGCGGGTCTCGTAGTTTCACAGAGTTCAGGGCCACCTACACCCACCTTAACCTTTCATACGAAAAATTTTTAACATCGAAACAGAAGAAAAAGTGTAATGAACATTCATGTACCTATCAGCCCGTACCAATAACTATACATATTTTACTATTCTTGTTTCATTCTTTCTCACTTTTTTTTTTTTGGTTGTAATTTAAAGCAAATCATCATAAGGTTTAGCTTTAAATACTTCGGTCTATCCTAAGGTACACCTAACACGATTAACTATAATTTCTTCATATCCTCTAAGAGCCAGTCCGTAATCAAATTTCCCCTACATAATGCCCTTTTACAGTGCGTCTCAACAGAGATGCAAACGGGCTCACAGATTTCACTTGGCTGATGACGTCCTTAAACTCCTTTAACGTCACCTTCCCGCTCCCCACCCTTTTTTCCTAGGCGACTCTTGGTTTGACACACTCATCCAGTCCTCCTCTCCGCCAACTACGGAGAGTCCGGAATCGCTCCAGCTGCCCCGCCACGAGATCTGGGCGTTCCGAGTCTTTGGGCACGCCCCTTTCCCCTCTGAGCCAATCCAAGCAGGGCCAGCGAGCTCCGGCTTCCTCCTCTAGAGTTCTAAGTGGTGCTCCCTTCTGGGCCCTATGAGCCAATCCCAACGAGGTTGTGAGTGGCATGGCTGCCCCCAGTTCTGCGATCTCAGGTTGTAGAGCTAATGCTTCGAGGTAGTGTTGACTACTGGTACTCAGATTAGCCGCCAGGTTTTTCAGGTCCGCGGTTGTAGTCTCCTGTGGTGCCGAAGAGCCCGGGCTTTGAGGATCATGGGTAAGGGCCCCAGGCGGACAAAGTTCGTGAGGCAGGAGGGGAGAAACCGTGTTTTCTGAGACTCTCTCGGCGGAGTGGTGTTCTCAGAACCCTTCAGAGATTGTTGCACTTCTCAGCACGGGTATAGCCGAGGGCAAGGGAGGATTGATCTTTCCGTTTGACTTGGCTTTTGCTTTTTTGCTTCTAACCTCAAGTAAAGGGCAGAGAAAACGGACACCCCGCTCCCCGCTTTACCAATGTGTATTGAGGACCTTTCCAGGGTGGAGCATCCTCAAATGTGAACCCCAAGTTTTAGGCTTCACCTTTTGAAATTGACCCCAGGTTTAACATTTGAGGCCAGGTCCATCCATATCTCCCTTCAAAAAATGGAGCATGGGGACAGTTATTTAAGAACCTGTTACAAGTAGCCATGGGTCTTTAAAAATAAAATGAGAAAAAAGGGAATAGTTTTAGTGCTATGTAAAGCCTTTCTCATGGAGCAAGCATAACAGCGAGATGAAGTCATAATTTTACACAAAGTGTTTGGACTCTGTGTTCCCTTCTCTTGCTTTCAAATGCTGCCAAATGAAGGATATATATATATATATATACCCAACATAGAATTCCAGGTGGTTGTGGTGTGTGTGTGTGTGTGTGTGTGTGTGTGTTTGAGTTAGCATTCTAATTTTATCATGTTGCCACATAATTTATTCTTAGTGTTGACTTTTTGTATATTAGCCTTGTTGAGTATGGAGGTTGGGAGTTTTATTATTTTTTATTTTTTTAAGATTTTATTTTATTTTATTTTTTAGAGAGGGAAGGGAGGGAGAAAGAGAGAGAAACATCAATGTGGGGTTGCTGGGGGTCATGGCCTGCAACCCAGGCATGTACCCTGACTGGAATCGAACCTGCAACACTTTGGTTTGCAGCCTGAGCTCAATCCACTGAGCTACACCAGCTAGGGATATATTTTTTTTTAATTCTTAAAGTAAGGGTGGACATCTTTGTATATGTAGCTTTAAATAAAATTACATGTATGTATCGTTTTAAATTTAGGTCCTTCTTTGGATTCATGGGACTTCTCACCTTTAATATCATTATGGATAAACAGATTTTACATATATTTGGGCTTTGCCTTTGCTATTAGCCTTTGGATTTGTTTCCAGATTGCCATCAGGAAGCAGGTAAGTGGAGTTATTTTTTTATAGGAGAGTATTTAGGCATTAGATTTTATAGAGAGTTTAGAATGAAGGTTGTCTCAGGCATTCAGAAAAATGCAGAAAATCTAAAAGGAACTTTAAATCACTTTTATATTTACTCTCTAGACATTTTTTAATGCCTAAAAAACTATTTTCAATTTTTAAAGGTTATGTTATATGGATTAAATTATTTTATTCTCACCTTTTCTTTGATGTGCTGTGGATGTCTCATTCTTAAGATGCAAGAAGATTTTGTAATGAAAAATTCAACTTTTGTAAAAAAACAAAACAACAAATCTGTCTTACATCTTTAAGGGGTAGTAGTCTCTTCCCACTGATTATGGATCAGAAAATAAGTTTCTGCTCTTACCCTACTAAAATACATTATGAATGAAATGTATAGTTTTACCTTTGAATAATACTTTTATTCATATAATACTGTAATGGGAATCATTTTGGTTTTAAGAAATGTGGGTTCTGCTCTTTTTTTAAATTTTATTTTAATCATTGTTCAGGTACAGTTGGGTTCTGCTTTTTAAGGATCTAATTATACCGAAGGGTTAGTATTTGAGGAGTACACCCAGAAAGATTAGGAGAGTAATAAAATGGGTCAGTATTTGTGCTATTTTTCATTCCTACTGAAGTTAGGAAAATATTCAAACTTGATGGATTTGTGTAGTTGTTTATCTTCAAGGACAAGAACTCACAGAAGAAATCAGTTCCCAAAGCAACTCAGGATTTGATGACAAATGGTTATATCTCTCATCAAAAGAAGGAAGTTTTTGTGTCTGGAGTAAAGATTTTCTATGGTTCCCAGACTGGTACAGCCAAGGTAAGAACGTTTTTTTTTTTTGACTCTTCCACCAAGGAGATATCTTCATTCCTCTTAGAGAGGGAGGGAGGGAGGGAGGGAAAGAGGGTGGGGGGGAGAGGGAAAGAGAAAGAGAAACAATGATCTGCTGCCTCTTGTATGCCTTCCAACTGGCGATAGAACCCATAACCTAGAATGTACCCTCACCGGGTACCTCAAACCTGCAACCTTTTGGTTTATGGGATAATGCTCTAACCAACTGAGCCACACTGGCCAGCCAAGGTAAGAACTTTTTATGACACTTTTCACTGGATTTCTGATCTTTTAAGAAAATTCCTGAAAAGTGCCTTTTAGCAATGAACTAAATTGGTTCTCCCATCTTCTTTCATCTTCTTTTTTTCCCTTTTCCAGCATCTGTTTTTCATTTCTGGGATGGTTGGTAGGTTTTATCTCTGTGCTCAATTCCAGGTGATTTGTGGTGCCTGGTGGTCATTGTTGTGAGGTATTTTTGTTGTGAAGCTTGCTTCTGTCTAAGCAGAATGGAGAGAGTTGCAAGTCCATTATTGATGCCTGTTGCTATAGAAGTAGGGAATAGTGAAAAGTGAGTGGCAGTAGTAGTATCCATTTTGGGGGTGCTACTACTACCCATGTCTGGGTTGGAGCTTTTTTTAGCCATTGTGCTGGACTCTTGGACTCTAGTTTTGAAAATTTTTTTGCATTAATTCTGCTAATATTTCTGCTAATAGTTCTGACAGGTAGTTCTGCCATCCATTTTTTCTCCCTTCAGTTTTTGTGGTTCTAACTCCTGTTATTTGGCTGTTAGAGGTTTTGGATGGTCTTCTGTGTCTCAGGCCTTTTTTTCATACTTTATGGTAACTTTTTCTTTTCATTCTGTCTTGGATTTTAATTCCAAATCTTTTTTGAATGTTTTGTGTCCACTATTAATTTTTAATTACAAAATGTCATTTTGCTCAATTTTTATAACATTTTGTTAATAATTTAGCAATATATTTTAATGAACTCCATTTCTGTTTCCTTAGTTATCAGCTTTCTCAGTTTTTCTGCTGCTGGTATTTCTTTTTCCTGCTGCTTGTTCTCATCATGTTCTTGGTGATCCATGGTTTTCTCTTCACATTTAGGACAAAATGATGGTGTAGGTGGTGTGGATTTTCTTTGTTACTCTGAACAGATTTGTTTTCTGTAATTGTAGATTTTCACTGGATGCTCTGTGTGGGGTGGGTCGGGGCATGCTGTGTGACCTATTGGTCCCACATCTCCCTCTAACTACCACCTCATTTTTTAAAGTACAACTCCTTGAAAGTATCTGTGCTTGTGATTTCCAGTTTCTCTACTCCTGTTTTGGTTAAACCACTCAGTTAGGCTTGCATGCTCTGACATGCTCCCAGTGACTTCCATTTTGATAATTAATTCATAGTTTTCATCTTATTTGACTTATTAGCTGCATGACCACTCCTTTCTTCTTGAAATACTTTCTTCCTTCAAGTTTTAGGTAGTTCTTGAGGTTCTCCTCCAACTTTGCTTTACTATTACTTGCTGATTTTTTCCATCTTCTTGGCCTCTAAAGATAGTGTCTCAGGGCACAGCCCTTGAGACTGTCTTTATCTGTCTGCATTTACTTTACTATCTAAGGGATCTTGTTATTTAGAGCTTCAAATTCTATAGAATTTGGCAAACTTTTTCTATAAAGGGCTAGATTTTAAAAATTTTATATGTATGTTTTAACAGCCAGTGCTGTTGTGGAACAGTCAGCGGGGTCCTATTGCTTGACGCCTATAGGCAGAACTCTGGAGTCAGAAATCTGGTGGAAAAGGAAAGGGCTGTTTATTTAAAGGCCATACAGTTTTGGAATACTGGCAGGTTTCTGCCTCAGAGCTGTGCTCCCTTTTACCCTGTGGAGGTAATGGCTGATCTGAGGGATACAAACAAACTCGTGTTTTAAATATTGTTACACATATCAGGTGCATAGGCTCCAGATCATGACTAGCTGCATGTTTGTATGTGACTAATGATAAACCATAACATTTAAGCTCTCAGGTTGGTTATAAGATGTGAGAATAGAATATTACAACCAAAGTCGGGAGTTGACACTGTGGATTAAGTGCTAGGTACATACAATGTGGCCAGGAACACCAGAAGATGGCCTATGGTTATATTCTATACAAGTTTGAATATTGCAGGGATAAATACTCAGACCACATTGCTGAACAGCAATGTAAAAATAAGGCACAGAATATTTATTTAAAAATCTATTAATGCAGTTAGTGTCAGAACAAAAAAAGGCATTCAGAAATTTCCACAGGTGTACATGAACCTTTACACCCGAAACCTCATCAGTTTCAAACACAGCTTGAAGGAAATTCTAATGACATACATATGGCTTCCTTGACAAACAGAAAAAGATGTGTTACGTGCTCTGTGTCCAAAACGAGTCGCTTATCAAAATATTTTTGCAAGTGTTGTGAAAAGTAGTTATTCCTTAAACATAGCAATATTGTTTGCGATGACTCTTACATTTTGCAAAGCCAATATTGAAGATTCTGATTAATTAATGTTAAAGCATTTTTCATGGTTGTATTTTTTAGCAACATCCATCTTTCCGTTATTTGAAAAGAAAAATTTTTATTCTTTATGCTTTTATATTTTTTGTTTAATAATTTCTAGATTGCAAGTGAAAATAAAAAATCATGTATTTTATTATATAATATAATAAATGCAAATTTGCAATGTTTTTAAATGTTTTTGCATTTTAGCACATACTAGTAATGAATGTATCTCTCAGAGACACATCCTACACTGTAATTTTTTATGACCTCCACAGGGTTAAAACACCCAAGGACTAACAATCCTGCCACCCTCTGCTAGACTACACCAGTTCAAGGAGTTACCTGGAATCCCCTCTCTCATTCCTAAAAGTACCATTCTTTGTGAAACACACATGTCGGCAGCATGATCATTCAGGCTGCTTAGCTGGTTCCTGGTTGCAGTTCAGCTCCAGATGACTCTCAACAGTCTGTGTGTGCTTGCCTATGTGCTTGCCAGAGTCCCGCGCAGCATTGCCAGCCCTGCCTTTGCTTTGGGTGTGGGAGGGGTACCCGGGTCCACTGGTCTCAGACACTTGGACGTGCTGCGGCTGACCAGTCTTGCCAGGGGAGGAGAAAGGCCAGGTTTCCTGGGGAGTTGAATTTTAAAGACTCAGCCCAGAAATCAATGCATGACTGAGCACCTGGCTTTTCATCCGTGTGCACTAGTGCCCAATGTATTTGTCAGCTCTTTAGTCCTTTGACCCTTTTCTGGCCATCATTTTGTAGAAGGGGGCAGAAGTTTCCTAGCTGCACACAGGAACCCAGTGTCTATTTGCCCCAGGTGTGGGATCACCTCATTAGGCATGTGTTGTGCCTATCTCTGCTCACTCAGTCCTGTTGCTTTGATTATAGTTGCCCAAGGCATGTCGTGTGCAGCTGCTGTTTCAGTCTGCAGTCTTCCATGCTTCCAACAAGCCTGTCCCTTCTCGGGGGGGAGTGTTGACTCTTGAGGGTTTCTGCCCTGCTCCCCAGTGATCTGGCCAGACCCCATGTTACAATATGGTCTTTGCTGCAGTTGCTTAACTCCACTGATGCAGTGTGGAAGTGGCCATAGACTAGAGGCGTCAAACTCATTTTCACCAGGGGCCACATCAGCCTCACAGTTGCCTTCAAAGGGCCGAATATCATTTTAGGACTGTGTAAATGTAACTACTTCGTAACAGTTAAGCTAGCGCTCGGCTGCCGCCAAGTAGAAACAAGGTGCTAGGTGGGATAAAACAAGGTGGGGGGCCGGATTTGGCTCATGGGCCTTGTATTTGCCACCTGTGCCATAGACAGTGTGTCAGTAAATGGACATGACTGTATTCCAGTGACCTTATACAAACAAATTGAGGACTGGATTTGGCCTGTGAGCCTTTGTTTGCCAACCTCTGTATTAGATGATGGGCTCTAAATTTATGTTTTTAATCTGAATCAGTCCTCAACTCCAGAATCATATCCAATTGCCTGTCATAGACCTTCATGTGGATGTCTAATAGACACCTCAAAATTAATGTGCTCATAACTGAACTCTGATTTTCTGCTCAAACCCATTCCATTTATAATTGTTCTTATTTTAGTAAATGGCAACTTTGTTCTTCCAGTTGCCTAGTATAAAAATATGCCTTTGACTTCTTTTCTTACTACCCATATCCAGTCTGTCAGCAAATACTGTTTTTTCTACATACAAAACAGACCCAGATTCCAGTTACTTCTCACCATATTCACTACTGCATCCTGTTCCAAGCCACCCTCCTATTTTGTCTGGATTACTACAGTCATCTCACCATTGGTCTTCATTCAGCACTGCCCTGCCCCTTCTGCAATTTCAGTGTATTCCCAACTCAGCAAAACCTCATACAGATTTCATTATGTAGGCACAATTAATGAAATCATTGGCCAGTGAGTGATGTTTGAACCTACTGAGAGAAAGGATGCTCAAAGTTCTACACCTGTAATCACCTGGTTGGTTTTCTGGCAACCAGCCCTATCCAGAAGCTACCTAGGGCTCATCCCTCCTGGAGTCATTTCATTAGCATATCAAAGACAGTAAGTTCTGAGGGTTTAGGATTCTGAGAACTGGAGACAAAGGCCAAATATTTATTCTTTATTATACACTCCTGTCCTGGCCCTCTCTATGTAAAATAACAACTCTTTTTCATATCTTCAGTATCATATTTTCCCCTTATTCTGATTAATTTTCTTCTATAGCACTATTTACCATCTGATATACTGTTTATTTTCTCATTTCTAGGTTATTTTCTCTTTGTCCATCAGAATATAAGCTCCTTGAGGTCAGGGACTGTGTTCTTGTACACTGTTGTGTATTAGTGCCCAGAGCTCAGACTGGCATAGGAGATGCCCAATAAATGAATACATGCTTTGGCAGGCTTTGCTAAACACGAAAGAGGAGGGCGTTTTCCTGGGGTGCCAACATCTGGGATGAAGTTATAGCCTTCCCCAGACATTTGGTCCATTTTGCATGAGATCTAGAGGTGTGTCGCCTGGAAATAAAGGGTGAATGCTGCTTAAGCTCTGTGCACCCTTCTGTGCTTGTTGGCTCTTCTCTTCCCCTGGTTTCCTCCCATTTCTGCGGTAGTGAACTCTCCCCTAGGACTTTCTCCTATCTGTCATCTTGCCTGTTTGCTTTCTATCTTCCAGAAACGTGTTCACATTTCTCATATTTTCCATTCTCTTCTCTCTCCAGTATTTTTTGTATGCCTCTGTGTCTCTTCTGGTGGGGCAAAGCAGCTGGAATGTCTAAAAGCCAATTTAGATTTACTATATATACTTTGAGAAAAATGTTGAATGATTGATCTCTATAAAGATGCTTGAGAAAATGGTAAAAGTGCAAATGGTATTTGTGTGTATATGTTTTTAAGAAAGATTTTATTTATTTTTAGAGAGGGGAAGGGAGGGAGAAAGTAGGAGGGAAACATTGATTGGTTGCCTCTTGTACATGTCTTGACCAGGGATCGAACCTGTGCAACCTAGGCATGTGCCCTCACTGGGAATTGAACTGGCGACCTGTTGCTTTGCGGGATGATTCCCAACCAACTAAACCATAGAGGTCTGGGCAGTATTTGTGTTTCTGATGACAAATGTCAGTCAGTGGAAAAATTTTTCATGAGAAATGCCTCATTCCCTTGCCAACAGGTGTAAATGAAGACAATATTCTGCTTATTTGGCTTATTGAAGATTGATTTTTTTTTCTTATTAGAAATTTGCAGCAGTTCTTGCCGAAGCTGTTACTTCCCTAGATCTGCCTGTGGCAGTTATTAATCTGAAAGACTATGATCCAGATGATAATCTAGTAGAAGAGGTTGGTAATTGTCTTATTTTCTCTTTAATCAAAATTCAAATTTAATTGACCTCTTGTGTTCTGGGATAAATAGAAATTTCAGAGTAAATTTCATTTTCATGCTAAGAGATTTCAGTTGGTTCAGTTTCCAGTAGCCATCAGAGGTGTGGAATGTGTGGTGTGGTACACTGATTATCAGTCGGTGTGGAGCCTGTCCCTTTGGTGTGTTAGACTCCTGGGGTGGGGGAACCCAGTGGTTTGAAGTTCCCAACACCCTCCTGCCTTGGATCTCACAATCAAAAGAGGATTGTTATTGATGGCAGTGTGCTGTGTGTATGAACCACATGTAAGCCTACTGAAAGGTTGGGAGCCACTTGGGTAGCAGAAGTATGGGTTTTGGAGTTAGAGAAACCTCTTGTTAGTTGTGTGACCTTCCTATATTAGTTAATATCTATGAGAGTTTAATTTCTTGATCTGAGAATTGCCCGTCCGCTTCCTCTATTTCTACCCATTTAGGGAAGTTTACTTTATAGTAGTTGTTCTCAAAGTGTGGCTGTTGAACCAACAGTATCAGCATCTCCTGGGGACTTGTTAGAAATGCGGATTCTTAGGTCCTAGCCCAGCCCTGCTGATCTAGTGTGTGGATGGGTTTTAACAAGTGCCCCAGGTGATTCTGAAGCAGCTAGAGTTGGAGAAGCACTTAGAGTGTGAATGGACAAACCTTTTCTGTAAAGAGCCAGATACTAAATATATTCAGCTTTGTGGGCCATGCAGCTACAGTTCTGCCTTTGAGGCAAAAAACAGCCATAGACAGTATGTAAACAAGTGAGTGTGGCTGTTTCAATAAAACTTTATTGACAAAAACAGGTAGGAAGCTGGATTGGGCCTGTAGGCTGCAGGTTTGCTAGCCCCTTCTTAGTGTATAAACTTCTAATTGTCCATCTTTTTCTCCCCCAAGAAAACACTGTTGTGCAAATGAGTCAGCTTGGATGTGCTCTAAATTATTTGTGAAAAATTATTAGTAAATTTTGATATTTAACAGTTAGCAAGGGATTACTTACAACTTACCTCCTGACTTGGGACTGTTAAAAAATATATTCAGGCAGATGAAATACTATGACTAACAGACTGAAGATGTATTTTGTTTCCCCTGGTAGATGATAGTGCTAAGTTAAAACTTTATGTTTTAAAAGTTTTATTGCTTTAATTTTTCAGGTAATGTTTTAGAGACCTTTCTGTATTTTTTTCCTGACTAACTTGCATTTTGTTTCCAGTATGACAAATTGGAGATGATAGGAACTGGTGGTCTGAGAAACGGAATGGGGTAGATGGTGGAGGGCACCGGGAGGTGTACTGGCAAGGGACTGGGTTTTCTCCTCCGTGCAAGGGGTTCTTGCTGTGTTTTCTTTCACTTTTGAAAAAGATAAATGTTTATGAAAGCACTCTTTGTCCTTAGAAATTAGTATAATAGGAATGTCACATTAAAAAAAAGTTTTCCTTTTGAATATTTTTCTGAAATAATTGCTTTCTTGGTTAGGTTACTAGTAAAAGTGTTTGTGCCTTCCTGGTTGCTACATACACTGATGGTCGACCGACTGAGAGCGCAGAGTGGTTCTGCAAATGGTTAGAGGAAGCATCCAGTGATTTTCGGTTTGGCAAAACTTACCTGAAGGGTATGAAATATGCGGTGTTTGGCCTTGGAAATTCTGTCTATGTGGGCCACTTCAACAAGGTAAGTACAAGGTAGATGTATGTTGAATTATAGGGATAAATTATCTTTTTTTTTTTTTAAAGATTTTATTTATTTATTTTTAGAGAGGGAAGGGAGGGAGAAAGGAGAGAAAGAGAAACATCAATGTGCGGTTGCTGGGGGTCATGGCCTGCAACCCAGGCATGTACCCTGACTGGGAATCAAACTTGCGAAACTTTGGTTCGCAGCCCGTGCTCAATCCACTGAGCTATGCCAGCCAGGGCTAGGGGTAAATTATCTTAATAAAAACATTAACACATATACATAGACATATATATGTGTATGTGAAATAATCTGTAACCTTCGGTACTTAATAATCAACTGACTGTGTTATTCTTTGTAGCTGGGAATTGCTACACATATATATCCAATCTCGGTGTATAGTAGGCTGTCAATAAATTTTTATTGAATTAAATAAAATGCCTCCTCTTGTCTAGTGTCTTAGGGGCCTGATTTCATAGGCTTTGAGTTCAGCCTTCTGTCCCCAGGCAGGACCTTATGGATGGAAAATCGCTGATTCTTTGGACTTCCTCAGCTGCCTAGTCTGTTGCTGAATAATCTTTATCGCCCAAGCCAGCTCTTAATACAGTTGAACCTGTTGTCTTTTAATCATTAATTTTTAAAGTGCAATAGAAGAAAAATAATCACTGCCCTTTATGTAATAAAACATTTATGGTTTTCCTGGATTTTTTTCTAAATCAAATCAACTTCGCTACTTTTCTTTTGCATTCTATTCTCTATGCTTTAAAAAATAAAAAATTAGAGACTTCTCAGTTCCCTAGTGGTTCTAAAAAGTTACTAGAACTTTTGCATGTGTAACTTTCCCTAGATATGGGCCCAGCCTTTCTCACCTGTCTTTGGTAGAATGTGAGGAAAGAGGAAAGTGGAGATCTTTTTTTAAACTTGCTTTCATTCAATTGTTACATCAAGATGTATATTTTCCCCCATATTTTCAAAGGAATTAGACAATGACCGGTAAAATTTTGATATGTGAATATTTTGCTTAATGCCTTGCCACTCAGGAAGTCTGTTAAGCTTTTTGACTCTTAACTGTGCTTCTGGAAAACCCCTGCTCCCCAGCTTCATCAGTTCATATTGCAATAAAATAAAATTCTGAGTTTATGAAATTATGAGTCTTGCCGAGTGGACACCATGGTCATTTTGTAGTGAATGGGCTTTGGCCCTAGAGGCTTTGTTACATTTTGTTTTGATAATGAGTTATTTTATTCTGACATTATTTAGAATAGTGGTTTTCAAATTCTTTTTAAGGCATCTAATCCTTAGTTTTATAAGACAATTTGCCTGTCTTTTTGTTCAAAAACCTTTTGCAGAATCTTATCGTCATCTGTCCACTGCAGCCCTTGTGGGTTGTGGCTGGGACAGGAGGGGTGGAAGCCCTTTTGGCTAAACGGGTCCCACAGGAACTTAAGGCTTTCGCAGAGCAGTCTACAAACCTGTGCTTTAGATTGTGTTTCTAGCTCATCTGTCTGTTTCTCGCAGGTTGGCAAGAATGTTGATAAGTGGCTGTGGACGCTCGGTGGTCATCGTGTGATGACTCGAGGGGAAGGTGACTGCAATGTCGTTAACAGCAAACATGGCAGCATTGAAGCCGACTTCAGAGCTTGGAAGACCAAGTTTGTCTTTCAGCTTCAGGTGCTTCTTAAAGGAGAGAAGAAATCCTGTGATGGCAATTGCAAGAAAGGCAAATGTGAATCTCATCAGCATGGCTCAGAGGAGGTGGAGCCAGGGTCTCATACTCAGGACGGATTGCGTCAGAGAGACACTGAGGTGTGTAGCCTGTGTGCCCATGTCTCTCTGCTTTCATCTTGTGTTTGGAGACGCTGTACCTTACCTCTGCCCTGAGAAACTATTTCATTGGCTTCTGGTTAGAAGGAAGATCTGAAACTCATGGAGGGGGGTGTTTTAGAGAGTGCAGCCTTAGGAGCTAAGGCATGTTGTGTTGGATGATCTCCTGTATCTCTTCTGTAATCATTGCATTGCTAGAGTCACATAGATTTCTACCACAATTTCCAGGTTAGGAAAGAGGCCCAGAGATGTTAAATTTGTCTCGGACTGAACTCATAATCTCTCTTTTTATCACCAAACCACGTAGCCCTCCTTGTCTCTCTTACTTAATGACTATTAATCACTCTAACTTAAAGGCTGCAAGGCATCCTAGATTCATTTCTTTCATCCTCACATTCTAAACATTTCTCTTCTTTCTCCAGATGCCCCAGAGCTCCTTTGAAGCTCTCGTTACCAGGCTCTATCACAGCCATGTGCCTTGGCCACCTGGTCCCTTGTCTCACTCAGGAACAGTTTGCATTCTACCTCTCCACCCTTATCCCTGTCATTAGTCTTTTTGGCTAAGCATCCATGTCAGTGGTTTATCTGACACCCTGGCCTGCCAGTTTCCTGGCCTTTAAACCTCCAGTAACCATTTTGTTCTCCGACCGTGGCCTCTCACTTCCATGGCCACCTCTGAAATTTCATGTTCTTGTGACCCAGACTCTGACCTCTTTCTGGTGCTTCTACTTTAAAATTCTTTTGATCCTACACCTTTCTCATTGGATAGTGAAAGCTGCTTATTTCACTTCTATCCTTACCTTGTTTAGATTTTATACTTATTCTTTTCTAAACATCTTTGATTGCCTTGCCTTCCACTCCATTTTACAACCCAATTGGCTGAACTCCGAGCCAGGTTGAAACCTGCCATCTGCCGTCTCCATTGCCAGCTGCTTGCTGTTTGACCGCAGATTCATGACCACAGATTCAAGTGTGAATTCAGAACTTCCCAACATTCTCTCATAAGTCCCCTTTCTCACTCTCCAAGATGACTGTTTAATACTCTCTTCTTGCCTCTTTCTTCAGCTCCCATTCGAAACCATATGGGAAGAATTCTCTTATAGCCCCTGCCCCATCTGCAAACCTTCGCATCTTTTCTGCCCCAGAAGACCAGTGTCTGGTTCTGTCAAAGACCACTTTCTGTGCCTGCTCTGGAAACAAGGACTTTGGTTCCCTTGTTTACCGCATCTCTCACTCCAGCCTTGTTAATCTTTCCTCCCTACTGGTTCCCAGGAATATATTAACATGCTCTGGAGTCACCTGTATTTAAACAACACAAAAAGGAAGTAAAAACCAAACCTTTCCTTTGTTTTGTCTGTTAGCTGCTGTTTCATTTTTTATTCTCTTTTTGTAGATAGTCATTTTGCTTGCATTTGCTTATTTTTCTCTCCAATTTGCTTTTAATATTAAAAAACTTTTTAAAATACTGAGGTAAAATTCGTATAACAAAATTAACATTTTAAAGTATATAGCCCAGGCTTATTTAAAACATTCACAATTTTGTGCAACCATTACCTATGTTAAGTTCCAGTTCCTTTTCATCGTCTCAGGAGAGAACCATGAAACAGTCACTCTCCCCGCTTTCCCCCGGCCCTGACAGCCTCCAGTTCGCTTCCCGTCTCTGTGGACGTACTCATTCGGCATATTTCACACAAGTGGAATTGTGCCTGTTTTTGTCTGGCTTCTTTAAGCACAAAGTTTTGGAGAAGTCATCCATGTTGTACATGTGTCAGTTCTTTATTCCTTTTTATGGCTGAATAATATTCCATGGTGTGGATATATCACATTTTGTTGATCCATTTATATGTTGATGGACATTTTAGTTATTTCTACTTTTTTGGCTGTTGTGAATAGTGCTGCTGTGACAATCATGTACAAGTATTTGTTTGAATAACTTTTCAGTTCTTTTGTGTATATACCTAGGAGTGGAACTGCTGGGCCATGTGGTGGTTCTGTGTTTAGCTTTTTGAAGAGCCCACCAGTTTTCTGCAGTGGCTGCACCATTTTGCAATTCCAGCAGCAAAGCACAGGACTTTAAATTTCTTCACTTCCTTGTCAACACTTCTTATATTCTGTTTTGTTTTGTTTTGTTTTTATTATAGTCATCCTAGTGAGTGTGAAGTAGTGTCTCCTTGTGGTTTTATTTGCATTTACCTCTAATGGCTACTAATGTCGAATATCTGTCTTTTTGTATGTTAAATTGCCAGTTGTATTTCTTCTGTGGAGAAATGCATATTCAACTTCTTTGCCATTTTTAATTGGATTCTTTGTCTCTTGGTTGTTAACTGCTAAGAGTTCTTTATTACATTTTAGATAGTAGACCTTTATCAGGTATATCATTTTCCCCCATATAGGTTTTTTTTTTCACTTTTTTGTCATGTCCTTTGGCACACTAAAGTTTTAAATTTCTGTGAAGTCTAATTTATCTGTTTTCTTTTGTTGCTCATGTTGATAGAGTAATGAAGATAAATTCATTGCTAAATGCAAGGTAATGAAGATTTAATCCTGTGTTTTCTTCTAAGAATTTTATAGATTTTGTTTGTATATTTAGGTCTTTGATCCATTGTAAGTTAGTTTTTGTGCATGGTGAAGGGTCCAATTTTATTCTTTGATGTGTGTGTCCAGTTGTCCCAGCACTGTTTGTCGAAGAGACTGTTCTTTTCTCATTGAATGTACTCAGCACCATTGTCAAAAGTCCATTGTCTGTAGATGTGTGGATTTTCTGGATTCTAAATTCTCTTTCAGTGATCTACCAAGTCTGTCCTTGTGCCAGTACCACACTGCAGATGTGTAGTTAAGTTTCAAAATCAGGAGTTCTCCAACTTTGTTCTTTTCTGATATTGTTTTGGCTATTTGGAATCTCTTGCAATTCCATGTGAATTTGAGGAGTGGTTTTTCCATTTCTGCAAAACACATCATTGGGATTTTGATAGGGCTTGCAGAGTCTCTGAATGGCTTTGGATAATATTGTCATCTTAGCAATATAAAGTCTTCCAACCTGTGAACATGGGATGTCTCCTTTTATTTAGGTGTTCTTGAATTTCAGCAATATTTTGAGTTTTCAGTGTCCAAGTATTTCACTCTTCGGTTAAAATTTTTCTTAGGTATTTTATTTCTTTACATGCTATTGAATTCTAATGTGGTCAGAGAATATATTTTGGATGATTTTTCTTTCAAAATTTGTTGAGACTTGGGGCCTAACATATAGCCTGTCCTGGAGAGTAATTCCTGAGCACTTGAGAAGAATGTATAATCTTTGTTTGGGTGGGATGTTCTGAATAAGTTAGATTTAGTGGGATTATAGTGTTGTTGAAGTCCTGTGTTTCCTTATTGATCTATCCAATTGTTGTGTTTATTGAAAGTGGGATATTGAAGTTTCCAACTGTTAATGTAGAATTGTCTTTTTCTTTCTTTAGTTCTGTCATTTTTTTGCTTCATGTTTTCTTGGTCGTGTTAGGTGCATACATGTTTATAATTGTTAAATCTTCTTGATATGTTAATATCCTTTGTCTCGTAACAATTTTGACTTAAACTCTTATTTTATCTGATACTAGTATAGTTACATCTATTCTCTTTGGGTTACTATTTGCATGGAATAGCTTTTTCTGTTTTTTTCTTCTATTATGTCTCTTGTAGATAGCATAGAGTTGGTTTCTGTTTTTCTTTTTCTTTTTAAATTCATTTTACCTGTCTCTGCCTTTTTATTGAAGAGTTTAATCCATTTTCACCTACAATTACTGATAAGGATGTACTTTTGTTATTTTATTTTGCTTTCTATATATCGTACATCTTTTCCTCAATTTCTTCGTTACTGCCACCTTTTGTGTTTTATTGATTTTTTTCCTGGTATACCATTTTGATTCCTTTCTCATTTCTGTTTCTGTACATTTTAAAGTTACTTTTTGGAATAGTAATTTCTTGGTATCTGCAGGGGATTGGTTCCAGGACCTTCTTCAAAAACCAAAATCTGTGGGTGCTGAAGTCTTTTATATAAAATAGTGCAGTATTTGCATGTAACCTCTGCACATCCTCCTGCATACTTAAAATCTTCTCTAGATTACTTATAATACCTAATACAATATAAATTCTATGTAAATAGTTTACATATTGTTTAGGGAATAATGACAAAAAAAAGTTTGTATGTATTTAGTACAGATGAACCACTGTAGGCCTAACTACATGTCAGCAACAATGTAACTTTTTTTTTCAAATATTTTTGATCCATGGATGTGGAACCTCTAGATGCAGAGGACTGTTGCTACTCCAGGGATTGCCATTAAATACTCTATTTGAATTAGTACCACCTTAGTAAACAAAAACTGCTCCTATTCAGCTCTGACTCTTTCCCTCTATGTTGTTGTTACCAATTACAACTTTATACCTTGTGTGATCATTAGCATGGATTTATAGTGAATTGTCTTATGTACTTGGCTTTTAAGTCAAATAGATAAAAAAAGTTATAAACCCCAAATGCAATAATATTGGTTTTGTATTTACCTATGCAGCTATCTTTACCACTGTTTTTTCTTTGTGTAGCTTTGAGTCATTATCAGATGATTATTTCTCTCATGCAGGTCTTCTATAAATGAACTCCTTCAGTTTCATTTATCTCCATTTCTCTTATAATTTTGAAGGATGGATTTACTGGATATAGAATCCTTGGTTTACAGGTTTCTTTTTTTTCTTTCACTGGTTTAAATATGCCTTTCCTTTGCCTTCTGGCCTCTTGAGGTTCCTGATGAGAAATTGGCTATTAACCTTATCTTTTCTGAGGACCCCCTTGTATGTCAAGAGTTGCTTCTCTCTTTATTATTGTCTTGACAGTTTGATTATAATATGTCTCAGTTTGGTTCTCTGTGTTTATCTTACTTTAAGTTTCTTGAAATTCTTGAGTGTGTTGATTCATATATTTTTATCAATTTGGAAAGTGTTTAGTCAGTGTTTCTTCAAATATTATTCCTGCTCTTTCTCTTCTGTCCTTCTGAGATTCTCCTTTTGTAATTGTTGGTACATTTGAAGGTGTCCTGTAAGTCTTTTAGGCTCTGTTCGTTTTTCAGAATGGCTAATTTCAACTGATCTGTCCTCATGTTTGCTAATTTTTTTGCTGCTGCATTCTGCTATTGAAACCCTCTAGTGAAAATTTCAGTTTAGCGATTACACTTTTCAGCTCAAGAACTTGTTTCCTTTTTATAATTTTTATCTCCATGTTGATATTCCCTATTTGTTGAGACATTGTTCTCCTGGTTACCTTCAGCTCTTTGTCCATGGTTTTCTTTAGCTCTCTGAGCACATCTGAGACAGTCAACTCAAAGTCTTTACTAGTAAGTCCAGTGTGTGAGTTTCCTCAGGGACAGTTTCTGTTAACTTCTCCTGAGTAGGCCGCCTGTTTTGTTTCTTTGCATGCTTTGTGGGGTTTTTTTTTTTTGAAAACTGCACGTTTTTAATCTTGTAATGCATTAACTCTGAAAATCAGATTTCCCCCCCCTTTTCAGAGTTCATTTTTATAGTCTTCTGTGAGTTGTAATTGTTCATTTAGTGACTTTTTAAAACTATTTTTGTAGACTGTATCTGTTGTCATGTGTGTTTCCGAAGTCTGTTTCTTTAGCTTGTGTTCATTCAGCTAGAATTTTGACGTGCCTTTTAAAAGTTTTCTTAAAAAGCTTTTTAAAAAAGCTTTTCTTTTTCCTAATTCATTGTTTACTTGGTTGTTGTAAACCTGTGACTAATTCCCAGAATTCTGACAAAGTTGAATTAGTTGTTTTTTCCTTAATTTTTAGGTGTTTCTGTGGGGGAATAGGCCCTTGGAGTTACATACTCTGCCATTTTTGCTGATACCACCATTATCCTTAACATTAAAAAAATTTAAGTTAAAACACTTTTAGAATTAAAAGTACATTTAAAACCACAAAAAGTACTTCTAGGCTTATAATTAAAAATTGCACTTCCTTGCCTCATTCTGTCTAATTCTTATTTCCCCAGGTCAACCAGTTTTAATTCTTTTAGTTTTTTCATAAGACATTTACCTCTATATTTCTAAATAATAGGTAGTTCCTGCTATTTCTTGATTTTTTTTTTTTAAATTTGAAAATCACACACACAGAGTATCACTTCCCTTTCATTTTCTTGCATAGTTGTATCACACTTTTTGGGTACACCATTAATCATTGTATCATCATTGTGATTGTGTATATATTCACATCTATCAACTATAATACTACATTTTCATTCTTATGCATTTATTTCCCTTAGTGCTGTATCTGCTTTGATTTTTCTATAGTCATCACTACTTCATTATAAAACTCTTAACACAATTGAAAATTGTTTTTAACATTGTGTAGTTTTTATTGATTCCTTGGAGGCTGTCCTGAATCTCCTGTCCCACATTGGTATGTCTGCCCTCTAAGCCTCGGTGAAGCTGAAGTCCGTGTCTTCACCCACTGTGATGTACAGCGTTACTGTCACCAGCTTCCTGGTTTGCATTCTGGAATCTGGGATTTCATGTCTTCTTATTTCTTGATTGACTCTTGTTTTTTGGAGCACATTCTCTGAGAAAGGGTGTTTTGGATGTGAATTTTCAGATTCTTTATACCTGCATGTCTTTATCGTACCTTCACAGTTGCGTAATGCTTCAGCTGAGTATAGAATTCTAGGTAGGAGTAACTTTCAGAAATTGAATGCATCGATCCATTGGCTTTTAGTTAAGTGTTGCTGTTGGGAACCCCAGTTTACTTTGGTCCTGAATTTTTGTTATATAATTCTCCACTCCTCCTACAAACCTTCAAACTTCCAAATATAGTCCCTCTAACCATCCATATTTTGCTCACCTCTTTCCCCCCAATTTTTTGCCTATCTTTCTCACTTTCATCTCTTGAACTGGATATTTATTTGTATTTTAGCTTCACACCAAGGATGCAGCCTTGTGGGGTACCAGGTGTGGGTCGCTTCTGCTTCGACTCTTCTCTTCTGTGTTAGACTTTCCTCCTAGTGTCTTTAGTGTCCTCCCCTTGACTTTAGCTGCTCTGCTCTCGTCCTGTACAGCTGTCAGAATAGGTTCTCCAGAGTTCAGCCGATACTCTTAGCTCCATTTCTGACTTACCTCTTAAGATTCTATTTGTAGTTTATACCTGTTCTCATTTGAATCCTTGCATTTTTGCCAAACCAGCGATACATTTAAGATTATGCATTAAAAATGTTACTGAATTTTATTTATTTTCTTCAAGAGAGTTGTTTAATGTAATCCACCCTATAGCTGTGAGCGGAAGTCCCATTTAACTCTCACCCGCTCAGTTTGGCTCTCTACTCCACTGATGCTGCCCTTTTGTAGGTCCGAGGGACTTCGCATTGTCAAGCCTCTCGGATATTTCTCTGTCTTTATATTACTTGACCTCTGAACAGTGTTGGACATTGCTAACTTCTCTGTAGCACTCTCTTTGCTTGACTTTCATGACATCATTCTTACGATTTTCTTTCTTTTTTACCTGGAATCTTTTTCCGTTAATAACCTTTATGTGTTGGAATCATTAAAGGTTCGGTGCTCAGTTCTGTTCTTTGTTGATACTTTCTTCCTGGATGATCTTGGATAGTTTTATGGCTTTACATACTCTCTAGATGCTAGTCATTCCTAGGTTTTTATTTTTAGGTCTAAGGTCTACCCTTAATTGTGTTCTTATATCCAGGGTCTGACACAGATAACTCCCCTTTTTTATTACAAAATCATAAGCGTGTAATTCTGTAACATAACGATATAACACCATGATATTTTAGGTAAAATGTTCAAATTAAAACTATAAATTATTACACCCATGTTATTACCCTACCAACCACACTCAAGCAGGTGTTATTTCTGCTGGACCTTGTATATGTTTTTAATATCTCTAAGTGGATGTTGAATGCATCTCATATTTCACAAATGCAAGATGGCGCTCTTCATTTCCACTTTCCCAGTCTATTTCTCCCCAAGTCTTTCTCGTCTTAGTAAACACCACTACCAAGAAATATAAGAGTCATACTTGATTTCTTTGTTTTCTTCATTCCTGCACTAATTTCTCACTCAGTCTGGTTGGTTCTTTGTCTAAAAGAGTGGTCAGGAAACTATTTCTCTAAAGGCCCAGCTTGTAAATATTTTCAGCTTTGTGGGGCATGTGGCTTCTGTTGCAACTATCAGTTCTGCCATTGTACCAAAAAAGTGGCCATAGATAATATGTAAACGATGGGCACCATCCGATTTGACCCCAGGCTGGTCGGATTTGGCCTGTGAGTGTATTTTGCTGATCTCTAGCCAAAATTATTTGATATCAATCCAGTGACCTCATAACTGGGGACGGGGGATTAGATGGTTTCCTACTTTGAACATTGTGTTTCTAAAGCATTGATGTTCCAGGAGGAGGAGCCCTGTGAGAGTTCCAGTGGGGAGGAGTCTGGTACCGAGGACCACCAGAGTCTGACGTCTGTTGTTGATGTGGAGGACCTTGGCAAAATTATGACTCATGTGAAGAAAGAAAAGGTACTGTAATTTCAGAAAATAGTAAACTTGGATCCTGCAGTGGGCTAACATCTAGCACTCTGTACTGGTGTGTAGTCCATCTGAGCTCATAGACAGTTTTATTTATTTGCCTCCTGTCTTGAGAGTTTTATACCTTTTTGCTATTTTTATATGAGCATTGTGAAAGTCTTCCCTCTCAGCCCTGTGAAAATGATCTTGTAGTAGGATAGGCAAATATTTTAGGACAAGAACTGAGGAAAGGCTAGATGGTAGGAGGGACTTAATTCGTTGTGTAGCTGAAGAGGACAGCATGATAAGATCGATTCGTGTTAAGATTTCAAGTGGAACTCGTGTGTAACATTGCTGCCCTGTCTTCCAGACTGAGTGTTGTTGGGCTGAGGGACGATGGCAGATAGGTGTGTAGATACTGAGCTCAGCGTGGGTGGAGACCCTAAGAATCTAGGAGATGTTAGGCTGAGTCACCATTGTCTCAGTGACTAAATAAATGTGAGAGTGTACAGTGCGGTGGGATTTTTGTGCAGATTCCAGTGATCTAAAATTGAAATAACATAATATATACAATTATATAAAAAGGTAAAGTCTCGATTTATGTGTGAGTTTTGGGAAATAAAAATATTCTAAACTAAAAATATATCAAGTGCATAAGTCTTAGGAACAAAATAAATACAACTATAGAAAAGTCCAAGAAAATCAATCATAAAATTAACACAAACTCAAATGAAAAGATTCAGTAAGGTTGCAGGATATTATACTGTAACAAGTCAAAAGCTTTTGTATTTTCAAACAATAACCAGTTAGAAGCTGTCATGGAAGAAAAGATCTCATTTACAATAGTCACATAAAAAAGAAATAACTATATAGAAAGGCATTAAAAAAGAAATACCCTAAATCTGTGTGAAGAAAATTTTAAAATATTTTTGAAAGCTATAACAGTGTCTTGGACAAATGGAAAGAAATCCTTGTTTTTAGATACAGGGACTCAGCATCGCAAACATCTCAGTTATTTTAAGTTGAAACATAAATTTGATGCATTCCAATAAAAAGTCCAGTGAAGTGTTTTCTGGTGTTAGACTGGTTGGTTCCTGTGAAAAAATAAACATGCAAGGATAGCTAGGAAAACCTTGTGGCAAAAGTAGTAACGAGAAAGACTGGCTCTATCAGATATTGAATCTTACTACAAGGCTTCTGTAATTAAAACTATATTGGCTTCTGATGAGACAGACAGGCCATTGTAACAGAATGAAATCCTAGGAGTAGACCCAGCTGTATATGGGAATTTCACGTATGATAAAGGTGGCATCTCTTTTCCCTAGTGTGAAAATACACTTTTTTTTAAAGATTTTATTTATTTATTTTTAGAGAGGGAAGGGAGGGAGGGGGAGAGAGAGAGAGAGAGAGAGAGAGAGAGAGAGAGAAAGAAAGAAAGAAAGAAAGAAAGAAACATCAATGTGCGGTTGCTGGGGGTCATGGCCTGCAACCCAGGCATGTACCCTGGCTGGGAATCGAACCTGGGGCACTTTGGTTCCCAGCCCGCGCTCAATCCACTGAGCTACGCCAGCCAGGGCTGAAAACACACTTTTAAGATAAATAATATTGACAGCTGGATAGCTAGTTGTGAAAAGATAAAATTGGCTCAGTATTTCACACATACATCAGAATAAACTCCAGTTGGGTCAGAGATCTACATGTTGAAAAAATATATAAATAATAGATTTAGATGAATTATTTTATAACTTAGAGAAAGGTTTTCTCTATGATTCAAAATCTAGAAGCAATAAAAGATTGAATTTATCCATGATTTTTTATAAAGATTTACATGTCTATAAGCAAAATCAAAAGGCAAGTGATAAAGTGAGGAAAATATTTGCCCGTTATAAAGAAGGGGTTAAATTTTCTACTACACAGAGCACTCTTAAAAACTGAATAATAAAAAGAAAGACCTAGAACCTACTAGAAAAAAATGGCAAAACACATGAATTGGTAAGTATCAGGAAAAGCTCTACAAGTAAACCAAACATATGGGAAAAGTGCTCAAATGAAAACTGCAGTTGACACATGTTTCTCACCTATCAAAACAACAAAAATTCACAAATTGGGCAGCATGCATAATTGGTGCACCTCTGGGGAAATGGACACTCACACCTTGCTGAGGGAGTCCAGAGTGGTATAACCTGTATGGGGGGCTCTTTGGTAGTCTTTACCAAATTTACATGCATCTGCCCATGATCCAGCAGGCCCAGTAATATGAATTTGCCTTGGAGATAAATCTTCACAAATACAAAATAACATCTGCACAAGATTATGCCTCACAGCATATATAGCAAGCAACTCTCAGGTATGGGTTGAAAAAGACATATCCATAAAATAGAATATTGTGCAGCCATGAGAAATAATAAAGTGTACTCATATACATTAATGTGATTTCCAGGTAGTGTTGGATTTGATTTGGAGGCCGACATGAATTTAAGATACAAAAATGTATATTTATTGTCATGTCATACTTACACATTTGTACCTTAAGTATATGTGTATATAAATGATATTTTGTAGCTGTGTTCATGGAAAGGACCTTTCTTGCTCTGACACAAACTAACAACCAGTTCAGTTCCAGTGACCTGCAGTCCAGTTCAATTCTGACACTAACTACCGGGAGTTAGCATCAGACTCCACAGGTTCAGGGCATAGTTCTGCACAAGAATGCCCCCACTTCAAATTTGGGACAGTTTGAGCATTAAAGATGAGTGTAATGATTATATAATGAACACAATGGATTGTATTACATCAAGTTAAAAAAAATCAATCCTTGTGCTACACAAACAAAGGGGAAGCACTGGAGAAAGTCTTTGCAGAAAGTTTCCAGGTAACATACAAGCCATGATAGAATTGTCAAATCACCTGTTTGCAATCCCCAGTGTAATAATTGATTTAAACAAGGATTAGATGAAATGTCTTTGGGGAACAGTCATTCATATAGTCTTCATCCTTGAAACAACACCACTGAGACTTGCCAAAAAATAAATAGTGGAAAAAAATAGTCCACAGATTATTTACAAATTACAAATGGAAACATGTACTTTTATAAGTGGAGTGATTAGGTGACTCCTATCTCTACCAAAGAATAAATTTAGCATCATCATTTGCATTAAAACTTGACTTTATGCACCTCCTGATATGATGTGTATAGCAAGATGTATACAATATCATCTATGCAGTGTTGAGTCAGAAATGTTTTAACCTGAATCATCTTATGGGGAAATGAGGACAAATCCAAAATGTGGGACAGCCCATGAGACAACTGGCCAGGCTCTTTAAAGAGTCAATATCATAAATAATAGCAACAACAATAAAATGGTGGTGGGACTGTTCTAGGATTTAAAAAAGACCAACCCAATACATTGTATAAACTTTGACCTTGAATCAAAGAGAAAATGCCATTGTCTGGACATTTGAGGATATTTGAAATGAATTTTTATTAGATAATATTGGATTTAATTTTTTTCTTCCTTTTAATAATGGTATTATAGTTCTGTAGGATCATGTCTTTTTTAGATGAATAATGCAGTATTTTAAGGGTGAAGTGCCATGGTGTTTGCAGTGTACTTTCAAATGCTTCAGCAAACTTTTATTTACACACATACACACAGGTGCATTATTTATGTATGTGTGCACTGATGGATGGATAGATGGGTAATGATCAAGCAAAAGTAGTGAATCCAGGTGAAGAGAATATGGGTCTTTATCGTACATTTCAACTTTTCATAGGGTTTGAAATAGAAGGTGTGAGGGGAACTGCTTTCCCTAATGCCCCCTAAACAAAACAAAAACACCAATGTCAACTGAATTATGAACTTTTAAAGATACTGCCATTTGAGAATAACTTCTATTTTTTGATAGGACTAGTTGGTAAATGAATACTTTTGCATTATATAAGGTCTTAAGTATGTATTTCTTGCATATAATGTGAGGGCCCTCTGATTTTACTTGGGGTGGCCCCATACTATAACAAATGGTAATTTAAGGGAATAAATTGAACATTTATTTAATGTTGCTTAGTTAATTTTTTTACTATAAATAAACATACCTATAATAATGAAAATTTAGAAAAGAGGGAAAGGACAAAAACCTACCAGTAATTCTATCTTCCCAGAAAAATCACTGTCAGTATTTGAAATATTTACTTAAATTTTGTTTTATGTGCATCTAAATTTCTACTTTATTATGAAAATGTTTATCATATTCTCATGTAGTCTTTATAACCTCATTTGAAAATCTCACAGAAAAGTCTTTTATTTTTTTAAAGATTTTATTTATCTATTTTCAGACAGGAAGGGAGGGAGAGAGGGAGAGCAGTTGTCTCTCATACGCCCCCTACTGGGGACCTGTCCCACAACCCAGGCATGTGCCCTGACTGGGAATCCAACCCAATTGGAAGTTCACAGGCTAGCACTCAATCCACTGAGCCACACCAGCAAGAGCTCTCACAGAAAAAAATATATATATATATTTTTTAAAAAGACACACGTTTGATGAGTTTCTTTTCTTTTTCTTAAAAAAAAAAAGATTTTATTTATTTATTTTTAGAGAGGGAAGGGAGGGAGATAGAGAGATATCAATGTGGGGTTGCTGGGGGTTGCTGGGGGTTGCTGGGGGTTGCTGGGGGTTATGGCCTGCAACCCAGGCATGTACCCTGGCTGGGAATCAAACCTGCGACACAAAAATCTTGTAAAGGTAATGAATACTGAGATTGCTTTTGGAAGTTACAAAAGCTGCTTTATTTTGACTTTTACTGTCCCTTCCAACCTGCACAGGATGAAAACTGTAGCAGACTCCATGACTTTTCTGATCCTTTTTGGAAATAAAGTATTATGGGCACTTAAAAGTACTAAGTCTTAATTTGGCAGTAGAATGTATAGTCCTATGTAATTCTAAGTAATACTAAATAAACTAATTAAAGTTTCTAATTTAATTTATAAGTGAACTTTCCCCCTATTTATTATCTA